TTTGAACACTACCATAAACACCATCAATTACCACTGAATACTCTCATAAAAATGCATTCGAACACCCCCAAAACACCACTGAATACTACCCAAACTAAGAACAACACTACCAGCTAATATCCATTTTATAGAATCCCCCACATTCCTCCCTACACTATATTTCTATAAAATCATCTCCTCACTCCACATAGTTTAATATAAATACGCATAACCCCCACAATTTTTTTCAGTTCAACTATTTCAATCAGAAAAAAGTCACCCGCATTGACTCAGTAAGATTCACACCATGTCACAAATTTTTAGAAACAGACACTCAGTTTTTATAAATAAATCAATTACAATCCAACTGCTAAGATATGAAATATAATCACATTTTTAGCCACATTCCCTCAAGTTCGGTATTATGTACAAAATGATTTGATACATTTAAACATTTCAAATTACGTTGGAGCACAATTCATAAATATATGGAACATCTTCCAAAAACATGAGAGTACTCCAGAATTACTTTGAACGTCTCACCATTTTTTGGATTTTCCAAATTAGTTTTGAAAACTTTATCGAAAATCGTACATTATTTTCTTGTTGGTAAACAACACGCAATGGTAGAAATATTTACTCGATTTCCGAATATAAAACAGAAAACTATTCCTCCGCTCCTGATAGACTCCTTGAGCTTATATCCTTACCACCCAAAGTATTGCGTCATGATTTTTGTACACCCCTTCCCCCCTCCGACGACGCCATGAAATGCGGTCTACTCCAAGGTAGAAATCACATAGTCATCTCCTTCCTGAACACCTGCGTCAACTCAGGTCAGACAGACGCCGATGAAGGGGGGGGGCGTTCACACCCAAGGAAGATTGAAGATAATCATCTCTTTCCAGACCAACTGTGTCCTCTTGTGCTATAATTGGTGAGGTCACAGGGCTGACAGACACCATGAAATAACTTAAATGAGATATAACATTTGTATTCTACCTCAATCCTTTTTTTTTTTTTTCATGGTAAGGTGTTTGATTGATTTAAGAATTTTTCATCAGTTCTTAAAAACTTTTTTAAACATTTCCCTTTTTAAATGAATGAAACATCATAATATTATTATTCTTGATGTACAACACGCTCTAAACATCATAAATCCTCCTCTCTAAGTCTTGTTCTTCCAGCCCCCCGTACACATCGGTACCTGTAAATTTTAATAAATTTTTTTTATTTTTCATAGCCATATAATGGGGAAATTTGCTACTATCACCGTAAAAGAGATAAACCAACTAAAAATTACATATTTTTTACACTACCCAAACTATGCATCTATGCTTCTCCGTTAACTTAAATATCTTCCCATTCTTGACTTAAAGCATATTCGTTCTGTGGTCCCCTTATTAACTTAAGGAATTAATAGCGTCCTTATTAACTTAATATGATGTAAGTATTATGGTTGACATGATTCTTGGTGTTTCAGGTAAGAGAGAAGGTCTAAATGGGTAAGTGGCCTTCATGAAGGATAAATATGAGTTATATAATATTAATTCAAGATATATCTCTCTCTCTCTCCTTTAAGTTATAATTACTACTCCTCATAATAATTTAAATGATTTAACCCGCTGATACAAGGTAAATAATTTTGCTTTACCTCTTGAGGAACCAAGCATTTCTTCAATTCTAGAAACAATAACTTCGAATCATCTTCTAAGTCTTGACCTTGGTTAAGTTTTTTTTCATTTCTTCTTTGACAACCATTGTTTGATCGAATACCTTCTTCCTTAAATTTCATTAATCATATCTTCGAGGATAGGTTTATAATGTGTATTCCAGATATAATCATTGAAGTTTCAATACCTTACCTCCAATACCTGTCAGAAAGATAACCTCTCGGATTGTTTTTATGTGTCTTCTCTCTTTTTATGACGCTCCTCAATGATTCCTTGAATATCTTATTCTGTCTGCGATAGTATCTTTCTTTAAACCAACACCAAATGGGGAATCTCTTGATTTTTTCCATTAAATTTTGAGTGAATGGTATTTTCCTCACAATGGGCCCAGTCCCAGCAATATACCAAATGTGGCTTTTTTATGGCTGCTAAATATGGAAGAATTCAAGTTTCTTGATCCGGTAAGTTCAAACTCGATAACAAGTTCAAAGGAGTATCACGATCTAACTCTGTGCAATCTTCTCAGATTAAATAATGGGTCTCTTCTCCAATACACATCAGCATAAGGATATTTCTTATACCCAAATAATACTTGCACCATATCCTTTATAGCAACCAATTCACATGGAAAATAATGCGACGTTGTCACTACAATATTTTTTCATCGAAAACAATTTTCCTTCTTTCATTTTAAAATATTTTTTCCATCCTATTGGCTGTCTCCAATTTCTTGAGATGGTTAGTCGCACCCTTGGTGGGAAGAGTACTAATGTATGAACAACAAAGACAGAGATTTTATACTCATCGACCGTTCCTGCCCAGACGTATGATCTCTATTTCAGTTGCCCTAATATGGTTTTAGAGTGCCTGGTGAATAAAAACAAATAAAAAGTATTATAAGATATTTTATTTTGTCATATTTTACATAATGATAACATATTTCTACAAACGTTTTTTTTAATTCCTTTGCAAAATCATGAATAATTGTAAGATATGCATGCCAATCACCTCCGGCTGAAAGCACATCCAATTCCTTCTGGAAACACATCTTTTTTCCTTTATAATCCCATTGGGAGCTGTTAATAACCACTTTAACAAGATCATTCATGCACTCTTTGAATATAAATCCTCTACGCCCATTCTTTGTAATCAAATATTTGCATTATTATATAGGCCTTAGCAACTTTTCGTTCATATAATACTTATGTGGAGTCCCATCACATACTGTGCGAAACATATGACAATCATGGGGTTATTGTTTTCCATTATGTTACAATTTTAGCTCCCAAATTTCACGGGGTGAACTTCACTAGCTAGATTTGCTTTATGGACATCCAGGTGCTAAATAAAAATGGATTGCTAAGTGGTAAGAAACCTGAACTTAAAAAAGTCATCACAGCAAGATCTCCCCTTTTTCATTTTACAGCACCACATTTGCTGTTGTACTAAACAGAATTTTATCATCTGCTACTAAAATCTTTTGTAACATTACCTTTCATTAACGAAAGATTTTTTTTTCTTCATCTTTTTTTGCTTCTTTCCCGTTTTTTTGATAAAATAATTATTATTCCCAAAAATTAATTTGTTACTCAACAAAGTAATTTTTGAATTTCAAAAAAATTACATTGTGGGAAATTTACTCATAATATCTCTTTAAAAACTCACTTAAAAAATTTTCCATTGCTATAGCATTTCTTTTATGGGTGAATATGTTTTCAGTCACTTCCTTCGTTTTGGAGGGTTGTGATCAAGGTTTCATCAATTATCATTTCTTTATCGTTCAGTGATGGTAACATTTGTTCGTAACAAATTTTCAAAAGTAATTTCCCCGTCCCCATCAAAATACTTTTGAACTAAATAGGGTTTTTGGTCTTTTTAACCTTTCACCCGGGGTTGTCGAGTTATATTTTTTATAACTATAGGGGTCGGAAAAGTAAGTTATAGGATAAAAAAAGATTAGGTGATGAATATTGAATTCAGATTGGGGGGAGAGAGTATGGAGGAGGTGAATTATTCGATTTTGGGAGTGGAGGTCGGGGTGGGTCTATGAAATGAGGTAAAATCTAGAATTGATGAGGAAAAAGAGGGGGGTGCACTTAGGAGTCTGGGAAACAAAGAACTTTGCCCTTGGGAGGCAAAGGGGGAAAATGAAAGAAGTATATTTTTTCCCAAATGCTCTTAAAAGGTGTGAGCATGGGTATAAATGTTGCAGCGAGGAGAAGGCTGGAGGCAGTGGGGGATGTAGCGAGGGCAATTGTGGTTGGGAATTTTAAAAGCAGAAATTCGTTTTGGGAAATTGGAGGAGGTGCGGGTTCCAAAAATGTTGTCCAAGGGCTGAGGAGGGGTTGTTTAGGGGGTTCGGACATGTGGGGGGGAGAATGGGCGAAACAGAAAACTTCAAGAGTGTATCAGTCTTGTGAAGGAAGCAGGGTAGGGGTCGGCCTAAAAGGGTTTGGGGGAGGGGGTAAAGGGGGGTTTTGTGTGCGAGGGGCTTGGACTTCCAGCAGGCATGCGTGAGCGTGTTTGATAGGAGTGAATGGAGACAAATGGTTTTTAATACATGACGTGCTGTTGGAGTGTGAGCAAAGTAACATTTATGAAGGGGTTCAGGGAAACCGGCCTTCAGAGAAACCGGACTTGAGTCCTGGAGATGGGAAGTACAGTGCCTGCACTCTGAAGGAGGGGTGTTAATGTTGCAGTTTAAAAACTGTAGTGTAAAGCACCCTTCTGGCAAGACAGTGATGGAGTGAATGATGGTGAAAGTTTTTCTTTTTCGGGCCACCCTGCCTTGGTGGGAATCGGCCAGTGTGATAATAAAAATAATAATAATGTGTAGAGAAATTTGTTCCATGGAAAACACTACGTGGCATCACCATGACGTTAGGTGAATGAACCACCACGAGTTTAGTGTCATACAGGATGGGGATCATAACTTACTTCAATGGTATTATGACATGTTATTACTATACCGATGGTGCATACTTGGAAATGCATGAAGACAATTAAAGGTAAGATAATTTGTTCAATGAGTATCGTGACGTCATGCTTTTAGTTCATTTAAAATAATAAGGGGAAGATGCTCTAACCTGTTTTAACGTGTTGCTGGATAGTGACGTCACAAGCAAGTAGTAAGTGTTGCCAAAAAAATGTCTGAATATTTCTTTTTACTGAAAAATAAGGAAAGTTAACAATGACTAAACATATTATTTGAAATATACAATGGATAATATATATGCTTTGGAAGAAATCCCTGTAATGTGTATTTGTATTATTAAAAAAAATGATATTCGATGATGACAACGATTGAAATTTTTTATATAAATATTTAGAGTGAAATGATAAGGAATCACTTGAGCAGAAGAAGAAATATGGAGGTGGTTGCGACAAAACATACTAGTGTGGTGTTTATAGAAATGTTATATACAATTAAGAGAGTCGAACCCATTCAAAAAAGAGTTGATGCGGAACATGTTCTCTCAAAAGAAGTGTTTGTAGCTGAGGTACGAGAAATGACTCAACGATGGAGTGAAGAAATATTGGAAAATTTATTGTTACGAGAATGTGAATGGAGTAGTCATTTATCTCAAACTTTTATTATACCAAAGCCCAAAAAATTAATTATGAAAATGGATTTTGAAATGGCTGATCCTAGTTTAGGTAAGTTTAATGAAATTTTTCATTTAATACTATTTAGCAACTCTTTATGTGTATGGAAGAGTTGTGTGTAAGTCACCCCCCAGACATTGTCCGGAAACCACATGGAAAGCATCTAATATGGGGAAACATGGCGATTTCATTGTTATTTGTGAAACGGTGAAAGATCTTCCTTGGTTGGAATTTTGCAACACTGTCAATCAACTCTTAAGGAAAGATTGTGAATCATTGAGTGAAAAGAATTTTCAGCGAGTTAAAAATTGGTTAGAAAATGAACTTGATTCGCATAAATTCATTGATGAAATGGTAACAGAGTGGAGTGATGATCTGGTATATTATATTTTGGAAAACAATATATCTGAAAACTTTGTCAGTCAAATATTTAATAGACAGTATAATCTGTGCATTTTGCATAGATGGTACAACACAAAGTGGAAATTAATTTGGAGAGAACTTTTCACAGATATTAAACATTATATTAAAAACATTGAGCCTAATGTGTGAGTAACTTATAAGGTAAGCAAAATTATTTACCTTGTATCAGAGGTTTAATTCATTTAAATTATTATGAGGAAGTAATTATAACTTGAAGAGAGAGAGAGAGAGATATTTGAATTAATATATATATAACTCATATTTATCTCTTCATGAAATGTGCCACTTACCATTTCGACCTTCTCTCTCTACCTGAACACCAAGAATCATGTCTACCATAATACTTACATCATTTAAGTTAATAAGACGCTTTTAATTCATTAAAGTTAATAAGGGGACACAGTACGATTATGCTTTTAAGTCAAGAATGGGAAGATATTTAAGTTAACGAGAAGCATATGTTTGGGATAGTGAAAAAAATATGTAACTTTTAGTTGGTTTATATCTTTTACAGGTGATAGTGCAAATTTCTCCCCATTATATGCTAATGAAATAAAAAAATATATTAAAATTTACAGGTACCGATGTGACGGGGCTTGGAAGAACAAGACTTAGAGAGGAGGATTTATGATGTTTAGAGCGTGTTGTTACACCAAGATTAATAATATATGATGTTTCATTCATTAAAAAGAGAAATGTTTAATAAAAGTTTTTAAGACATGATGAATTTTAAATCAATCAAACCTTACCATGAAAAAAAAAGGATTGAGGTAGAATACAAATGTTATATCTCATTTAAGTTAATTTCATGGTGTCTGTCAGCCCTGTGACCTCACCAAATTTTAGCACAAGAGGACACAGTTGGTCTGGAAAGAGATGATTATCTTAAATCTACCTTGGGTGTGAACACCATTTCATGGCGTCTGTCTGACCTGAGTTGACGCAGGTGCTCGGTAAGGAGATGACTATGTGATTTTCTACCTTGGATGTGAACCGCATTTCATGGCGTCGTCGGAGGGGGGAAGGGGTGCACAAAAATCATGACGCAATACTTTGGGGTAAGGCATATAAGCTCAAGGAGTCTCTCAGAGCGAGGAATGTGTTTCTATTCGGAAATCGAGTAAATATTTCTACCATTGCGTGTGTTTACCAACAAGAAAATAATGTTCGATTTTAAGATAAAGTTTTCAAAACTAATTTGGAAATATCAAAATGGAGTCGTTTAAAGTTTAAATTTTGGAGTACTCTAATGTATTTTGGAAGTGTTCCAATATATTTATGAATGTGCTCCAACGTAATTTGGAAATGTTCTAAATGTTATCCCAATCAATTTTGTTCATATTACCGAAATTGAGGGAATGTGGCTAAAAATGTGATTTATATCATATCTTAGTTGGATGTGTTCGTGATATATTTATAAAAAATGAGTGTTTTCTAAAAATTTGTGACATGTTGTGAATATTACTGAGTCAAAATGCGGGTGACTTTTTTTTCTGATGAAATAGTTGAACTGAGAAAAAATTGTGGGGTTATGCGTATAATATTAAATTATGTGGAGTTGAGGAGATAGATTTTATTAGAAGTTTAGTGTAGGGAGGAATGTGGGGATTTCTATAAAATGGATATTAGCTGGTAGTATTGATCTTAGTTTGGGTAGTATTCAGTGGTGTTTTGGGGGTGTTCGAATGATATTTTTTGGGATTATTCAATGGTAATTGATGGTGTTTTTGGTAGTGTTCAAAGTAAAGTGAGTTGTCTGTGTGTGTTAGGTGGTTATAGAATTTTGTGAATATCTTGGTTACAGTGATTTTAGTGGATTTGAGATGGGTGATGAGATGCATTTGTGGATGTGAAATGTGATTTTTGTGTTTGTTCTGAAGAGGTGTGTTGGGAAACGGGTGAGTGGATGTGAAGAAATGTGAGTGAGATGGAGAGGGGTATGGGGAGGGTTGTATTAGAAATTTAATGAAATATGGGGGTGGGGGATTTTACTGAAAATAAAGGTAATTTGTGAATATTTTAAAAGAATTTATAGAATTGAAAAGTTATGATATATTGGAAAAGAATGGAGGGTGTAGAAACATGTCTCAGTAGTTGGGTAGTGAGATTAGTTGTTGTGAGTATAATATCAATTAATGTGAATACAAGGAGATGGGTATGGAGAGGAATTTATTAGAATTTTAGTAATGTAGGGAGGAATGTGCATTACATTTAAGATTCAATTAAAAGAAGGGGAAAAATTTGTACCGAATAAATTGTGAATAAAATGGTAAGTGATGAGGGTTGTGGGTAATGTAGTCGAACTAGAGTTGCTGAAAAGTGTTTATAAGTGGTGTGGTGACTTTTTCTGATGAAATAGTTAAAACGAGAAAAATGTCTAGACTTGTGTTGTATTTTGTGAAGAAATTGTGGATTGTGGGATGTGGGTGTTGTGGGATGTGGTTGTTGTGAATTGTGGGCGTTGTTGTCGAACTAGAGTTGTTGAAAAGTGGTTATAAGTTGTGGGGTGTTGTGCCTTTTTCTGATGAAATTAGTTAAAACGAAAAAAAAATTGTGGGTTGTGGGTTGTGGGTGTTGTGGGTGTTGTGGGGGTTGTGGGTTGTGGGTGTTGTTGTCGAACTAGAGTTGTTGAAAAGTGATTATAAGTTGTGGGTTGTTGTGACTTTCTGATGAAATTAGTTAAAACGAGAAAAAATTGTGGGTTGTGGGTGATGTGGGATGTGGGTGTTGTGGGTGTTGTGGGATGTGGGTGTTGATCTTAGTTTATGGTGATTTTGGTGGTGTTTTGAGTGTATTTAGTGGTTTTTTTAGTATTTGGTGTATTTGGGAGTACTCAAATGGTGTTTTGAGGTTATTCAAAGGTGTTTTTGAAGGTGTTCAAATGATGTGCAAGAGTACTTATGAAGGTGTTCTGGGAGTATTCAGAGGTGATTTGAAGGTGTTCGAATGATGTTTTTGGAGTATTTAAAGGTAATTGATGGTGTTTTTTGGTGATGTTCAAAGTAAAGTGTTTGAGTTAGTTTTTGTGATAATGTTGTGAAGTCTGGAGACTGAGGGAGGAGTTTGGGGGGATGAGTTGTAATTTAATGAAATGTGTAAGTGCAGATAAATTAGAGCTGTCAAATCTTATTTGGGAGTATTCAAAATGATATTTTGGAAGTGTTTCAGTGTTGTTTGGAAATGTTCAAAGGTATTTTTGTGAGTATTCAAATGATTTATGAGAGTGTTTTGAAGGTGTTCAAAGTAAAGTGAGGTGTGTGTGCGTATTAACTTCGTAATATGTAAAATTGTGACTAGTGAATTTATCGAAAAGTGGTTATAAGTGTTGTGGTGACTTTCTGATGAAATAGTTAAAACGAGAAAAATTGGGGGTTATGAGTGAAAATTGTGAGGTGTTGGTTGGAGTGTGAGGGTTCGGGAGGGTGGGGAGGAGGAGAGAGAGAAGGTTACTTCGTGGGGAGTGACCTGAGATGAAATAGTTAAAACGAGAAAAATGTCTAGACTTGTGTTGTATTTTGTAAAGAAATTGTGGATTGTTGTGGGTATTAACGAAAAAAAATGTGAAATTATTTGGATTATCCTGGGTTAAGAGTGAAAATGTTTTCCCTATGTTGTATATGAAATGTGTAATACTGAGATGGGGAAGTCGACAAGATTCAGCCTGTGTGTGTGGGGTCATCGCGTGACGTCACTGACATAGGGGGAAGTCGACAAGATTCAGCCTGTACGTGTGAGGTCATCACGTGACGTCACTGACCGCCGAGTAAACACAGTTTTTAGTTCATTTAACTTAATGAGAGGGTTATTTTCATTACCAAGGGCAAGTACCTTACACTTATCCACATTAAACTTCATCTGCCATTTTTCAGACCAAGACATTAATTTGTTCAAATCGTCCTGGAGTTCATTGATATCCTCCTCAGAGTGAATTATACGGCCTATCTTTGTATCATCAGCAAACTTACTCATGTCACTAGTAATCCCTTCATTAAGGTCATTAATGTAAATTATGAACAGGAGAGGGCCTAAAACTGATCCTTGTGGAACGCCACTAGTGACTAATCCCCATTCAGATTTCACTCCATTAATGGTAACTCTCTGCTTTCTATTGGTAAGCCATGCCTCAATCCATGCTAGAACTTTACCTCCTATACCATGAGCTGCCACTTTTCTTAAGAGTCTCTTGTGAGGTACTCTGTCGAAGGCTTTACTAAAATCCAAATAAACAATATCATATTCCTTATCACTGTCAACTGCCTCAAATGTTCTATTGAAGAACGTCAGAAAGTTTGAGGCAGGAACGACCTCTCGAGAATCCATGCTGAGATTCATTTATCAAGTTATGCTCTTCAAGGTGACTTCTGATAATGTCAGCTATAATTGATTCTAATAATTTGCCCACTATAGATGTCAGGCTTATTGGACGGTAATTTGAAGGAGTGGACTTATCCCCTGATTTGAATATAGGAACCACATTAGCCATCTTCCACAACTCTGGCACAACACTGGTAAGGATGGACGCATTGAATACACTCGTTAATTGCTGACTAAGCTCCATCTTGCATTCCTTAAGTACCCTTGAAAACAACTCATCGGGTCCCAGGGACTTATTTTGTTTCAGTTTGTCTATCTGTTTAATAACCATGTCCCTCGTGACAGTAATATTAGTTAACTTAAATTCATCAGGAACTAAATAATTGTTAATTACTGGAATCTCATTTACATCTTCCTGTGTAAAAACTGACAAAAAATAGTCATTAAATAAGGAACACATTTCCAGTTCATTATCAGTCAGCTGTCCATTCCCAGATTTCAGAGGTCCTACTTTTTCCTTCACCTTCGTCCTATACTCTTGAAAGAACCCCTTTGGATTAGTATTTGATTCATTAGCAACTCTAATTTCATAGTCACGTTTAGCCTTTCTAATCGCCTTTTTTACTTCTCTTTTAAGCTGAACATATTGGTCAGTAAGGTTAACCTCTCCTCTTCTGATGCGCCTATAAATTCCCCTTTTCTCCCCTAATAGATGCTTTAGCCTCCTGTTAACCCATTTGGGATCGTTATTATTAGACCTAATTTCTCTCTGGGGAATGTATATACTCTGGGCACTGTGTACATTATTAAGAAAACAATCATAAAAGCAGATCCCTTCATATTCATAAGTATGATTATCGTCAATAAAATAATTAGCTAGATAACCCCAATCAAGATTAGACAGATGTTCCCTAAGTCCATTATAATCGGCAGAACGAAAATCAGGGATTTTTACTGTATTATCATTATTCTTGCATTCCCAATTAATGCTAAAGGTGATGGATTTGTGATCACTTGTGCCAAGCTCTTCAGTGATCTCCAGATTATTCACGAGTGTTTCCTTATTTGACAAGACTAGGTCTAGCACATTATTACCCCTGGTAGGCTCAGATACACTCTGTTTCAGAAAACAGTCCTGAACTGTTTCCATGAAGTCACTGGACTCTAGATTGCCTGTCAAAGAATTCCAGTCAATTTGGCTAAAGTTAAAGTCCCCTACTATAACTATGTTACTGTGTCCAGAAGCCCTAACAATTTCGTCCCAAAGAAGTCTCCCTCTATCGTGATCCAAGCCTGGAGGTCGGTATATTACACCTAGAATTAGTTTTTCTTGACCCTCCACGAGCTCTACCCAAACAGACTCTGTTACTGCTCCATC